TCCCGTGATTTAAGGGTTTGGATAAATTTTTTTTTTTTTTTTTTTTTTTTTTAAATATATAAAAATAGCGTCTCTATTCTGTGGAATTAATCAATTATCTATGCTGGTGGGAAAAATATAATTTTCCTTTTTATAGATTAGATTTCCTTTTGAATAAATGATAAAAGAAAAATAACAAGTTGTAAAAACAAATTTACTTGAGAGATGCCGATCCATTCGATACTTTTAATTATTGTACTCCACCTAATAATTAAAAATTTAAAACAATATTGATTTTAGATTTAAATTTTATTATTATCATTATGATTTTTATAAATAAAAAATATATTTACTTAAAATTTAGTGTTTGACTTTATGTTAGAAAATACATTGATTTAAAAAAAATATAGTTTATTTTCTTTTTCTTCCTCCCACTTTTTTAGTTGACATGTTTGTGCATAGGGCTTTATTAAGCCGTTCAAATTATTCAATAGGCCGTCCTACTTTCACGCGACCACTGAGGTTGAGGATGTGAATATTCAATGAACTTTTATTATGTAACAAAATGTCATCAGTCAACATGCAAAATGTAAAATCAAATATATAATTACATAACCTCTGACATGATTTCATGTTACAATTCTGTGGAATTGTTCATGATACAGTCTCTTTAAATTAAATGTTATAAATTAAAATAAACTATTGTTCACAGCTTATTATATGACTCATCCGATGAACTCATGAACCCATGAATCAAATAAATTAAATTAGTTTGAAATTTTGTTAATTCATTTTATTTAAAATTTAAACTAAATTTAGTTTGATTGAATTTTTTAAAAAAATTTAAATAACTTGATAACTTAATTAGTTACTTTTAATTTTTAAATTAGTACATTTTAAATTTCAGTATTTTTATTTATTTTGATCTTATGATTTTATTTACTATTATTAAGGTGTTTATCTTAATTTAGAACCTGTTTGCATAAACATTTTTTAAAGTACTTATCAGAAAAAGAAAATTAAAAAAAAAAAGAAATTTTATATCTTCGTAAATTACAATTAACTCATACATAAATTAAAATTAAATTTTTAGAGAAACTAATATGAGAAAGATTTTACAAATTATTATGTATAAAATAATTTTAGTTTTCTAGAGATTAATTTTATTTCTTTTCTTTTTATTATCTTCTCCTCCAAGTGTTTTCGCATAAGTTTACTTAAATAAGTCTAATTAAATAGAGTTTCAGTGATGTTCATTATGTGGTAACCTTTTATCATATTTTGAATAAAAGAAATTAAGATATATGTAACATAATAGATATAAAAAAAGATAATTATTAAGTAAAACAAGTGATTTATCATGAAGAACAAGAAATATCTTTATCTTGCTTTAATATAGAATAAAATAATTATATAAATAGATAATAAGTGACTATAAAAACTTAAAAAATATAATATTTTTTTTATTTGATGATTTGAGCTATGTTTATCCGATTTTAATTGAAATTGTTTGGTTCAAATCGACTAAAATAATTTAAAATTTAAAATTGGATTATCCCAACCTATAATCTAGATGTGTTATCCAAAGAGTTTTTGTTAAGTATTTGATTAAGCATCTCTATTTGATTGCTTCCTCTCCATCTCTTGAAACATATCATTAAATTGTTGACTTAATTTTTGTATTTGAAATAATTTATATTTTTTTAATAAAGTATCAAAATACATTATTTAATACGATAGTAAAATTTTTACAAAATCCTATAATTTTAGAGTTTAAGAAGGCATAATAGTTGGATATAAATTTTTTTTATCACAGGACAATGACAAACAAAATATTATGGAATAAAACTAAATCAATTAAATCGAATATAATTCACTTTGTATTTTATCTTAAATCTAAACTAATACTCATAATGACTCTTTGTGGTACATAGGCTTTATATTGGAAAAAAATATAATGGTATGCAATAATAAAGATAAAAGGAGTAACAAAAGTTCAACAAAAAAGAGAATGGTGTAACCATTGTGTTTAGACTTCGGTACATAGGTTTTACATCTTTTGCACGTTAATCTACTTAAGCATTTCAATACATTAAAAATTTTACAACTTATTATTGATTCACTTACAAAATTGTATAGCATTATAACAAAATCTGTCATATATTTAAATACAGAAAAATAAAAGATGATATTTTATATTATTTGTTTGCTTGCCCAAAAACGAAATGATTGAGAATGATATGATGATTGATGGCAACGTGGACTCAGTCACTGAGAGGGAGGGGTTGTCTATTTTAAAGATGGTCGGTCCACAGCCTACTTTATTAGAGTTAGGACCCTTTGTTACTATTTGCCCTGTGCTTGAAATAATAATTATAAAAAATTATAATTTTTTATATTTAATTATATATAATTAGTTATTGAAATAATATAATTTTTATCGGCGTCCCAAACACATTATAACTGTATTTCACAATGACTCCGTGCCCGCCATCACTTTTTATTCAAAGCCTTCAAATTAGTTTCGTCACTCTCTGAAAATTTATTAGTATGACAAACGTGGAAATATGAAATTTGATAAAAGAAAACTAGAAAAGATTAGGGTCTTATTGATTTAAGAAAATATTTTTTCATTTTAGTTTTAATTATAAAAATATTAGAAAGTTAATGGGCATATACTATTAATATAAAAGAAATTTATAATATCGATATGTTTAAAATCATCATTTATAATTTTAAGATAATTATTATAAAATGTTTTAATGTACATAACAATTTATATTTAAATGAAAAGACTTTAACATATTAGATTATTAGCACATACATTATTTATTTAAAATGCTATATAATTTTTTTATTAAATTGCATAAAAGGACGAAAAATAAATTTCTATATTTTTTTTATTTCTTATATGAATATTTAAAAATTAAAAAACTTGTAAAAAAAAGATTTTATTAAAAATAAGGGAAAGAATATGTATTAGTATTTTATTATTTTCTAGAATAATATTTCATTTTTAAAATAAGGGAAAGAAGATTTTATTAAAAAAAAAAAAAAAAAAAAAAGACAAGACAAGACAAATACACAAAGACGAGGATTAATGTACATCTACTTGAGCATATCGAAAAAGGCTTTAAGCCGCGTCCGCAGAAAAACAAGTGCAGACTGCAGTGATAGTAGTTAAGTTGATTTACCTGTCCATTATTTTTGCTGTTATTCACGAGTGAGTCACGGCCACACCGTTAAGTGATGAATGAAAAAATACATAGAAACAAAAACAATAGAAGAAATACTAAAGCTTGTGTCTCTATCCATCACCCTCACCCCTTGTCTAGTTTTCTCACGTCTTACTCATTCCTCCCACTGCATCATTTATCAACCAACCATTAACTTTCCCTGTCATCTCTCTCACCTAGTTCTCTTCACTCCTTTCATTATTTTCTTAGCTGCTGCATCACCATGTTCACAAAACTATGCCTTGTACTTGCTACTAACTAGTACTGTGGCCAGGCCCGTTCAAGAGGTTTCGTTTTTTGTCCATTATTACTTTAATTTAGTTCTTTTCTCTCTCCTTATTGTTGTTGCTACAGAAGGTCCTTAAATTTAGCAGACAAAGTTGCTCCTCACTGCTCTTGCTCTATTTAATCCACTCATTATGCTCTATTGTTGATTGTTTGGATCATTGAGGAGAGAAAAATAGGCCTTCTCATGATCCCTTGGCTTCAATTTTAGTTTTCAGTATTGTGTCTGTGCTGGTGCTTTTCTGTTCTCACTTTTAATGTCCTGTTGAATTGAAGTTTATGTGGTAATTTTAATCTGCTTGTAATCACTTGTTGTGTCCTTTATCTAACAGGCTTTCATGATTGGTAGGAGATTTCTACCTAATCATTTACTCCTTTCTGCTTAAAATTAGTGTATGATATTGTCTTGAACCGTGAACTTGTGATTGAGAGGGGCTGCATTATTGTTCAAATTTGGAGCAAGATGGCTGAAAGGAAATTGAATATTAACGCCCCTCTCATGTCTGTGAGACGCTCTGCTGCTACACCACCGTCCCTAACTGAAGCAAAGAAGAAGATATTGGAGAAACGCCATACTCTTGCACACTACAAATCAGACATGAACTCAGATCAGGTAACAGAACCTGTTGCAGTCCCTTTCAATTGGGAGCATATCCCTGGAAGGCGCAAGGGTAATGGTGGATCTGAGCCTCAACCTCCTAAGGCCACTTCCATCACTCCAAGCCCAAGGCTTCCCCCAGGAAAATCTATCAATGCTCCCAAACAGCCATTGGAAAAGGAAAGTAAGGTTGCAAATAGATACAAGCCCTCTAATAAATCGAAGTCTTTCAATGTCAGTGTGGTTAAAGTAGACAGTGAGAAAGAGAGAAAAGCAGACAAAATTGTTGAGAACAGAAGGTCTAATGTGGAGTATGATGGTGATGGTGATGGTGATGACGATGCTTATTCCGATGCCCTTGATACACTGTCACCTACAGAATCATTCTCCATGAACTGTAGTGAAAGTGGTGTAAGCGGGTTAGAGAATATGGATGCAAAGAGATTTGGAACCTTTTCCACAGATCAACAAACTAGAGACTTCATGATGAGCAGATTCTTGCCTGCTGCAAAGGCTATGACTCTACAACCTTCTCAATATTCTTCAAAAAAGCAATCTGTACTAGTAGAACAACCACCTAGAGATGTTAGCAAATTGATTCGTGACGAAAAGAAGCCATTGATTAATAAGCCTAACACTGATATTATACCATACACTGGCCAATGTCAAGAGGAAGAAAGTGAAGATGGTGATAATAATGAGTGTGACAACTCTGCTGATATCACAGCCAAAGGCTGCGGGTTGTTACCTCAATTACACATTAGGAATTCATTGTGCTTATTGAATCCTGTGGCTGCGATGAAAGTGAAGAACCAGGTTTCCTTGCCTTCAATCACTGAGGTTAAGAAACCAAACAAAAGAATTAGATCTTTTAGCCCAGTTCCAGCTGTAAAGAAGGTAAAAACAATGCAACTCCTTTGCACCCTTCAATACTTTTGTAGATCAACATTCTCTAGTGATATTCCTTTGAACGTATTTACTTACAATCATAAATTTTTTCTGCAGGCTTGGGATGCTATTCACAAAAACAAATCAGGCTCTGGGGCTGCATCACCTGATGCACAAGAGGGTAGAAAAAAATGGAGTATTGAATCAAACAGATTTACTTACTCTGGTGAGTTGCTTCCAGGTAGACTCTCTCCCTTCCGTCGTTCAAGAGCTGCTGCTACTGGTATATCTCCCAGTAGAAATAGACCCCAATCTCCCTTTCGTGGTGCTAAGGTTCTTGGTGATTCTAAAGAGCCTGAAAGTTATAAGTTTAGCAAGGTGAAATTCCACAGTGGTGCACTTGGAAATGTTCAAGATGTGCTACTGACTCAAGGACCCAAAAGAACTTCATATTCAGGGAGTCTCACAATTGAAAAGACATTGTACATAGATACTGCCAGCACAGCCAAATTATCATCTTTAAATGTAAGTTCTTTAGATAATAAACGGAGGGTAGATACTATGGTTGCAGAGTTAGACAGAAGGGGGAAAGAAAGTAATTCCTCCTTAGGATCTTCTCAAGAGATAAAACAAGTACATGCTGTGGAGGAAAAGGACACACTTGATATTGAAGTGTTAAAGTCCTTGGATTCCATTCCACCAAGTTTGTATAGTATTTTGAATCTCGCAGCCAAAGAAGGCAAAGAAAAAGGATTGACAACTGATCAAAATATTAGCCAAGAACTTGCGTCCTTGCATCTTGTTGAAGGGACATTCGCTGAAGATTCAAAGACCAACACCCAGCAAATTGTATTAGCTAATGATCCAGGAAAAGATGGTGCTGAATCTGGTGTGTCTCCTCTTCCCCCTCCATTGCCAAAATCACCTTCCGAGTCCTGGCTTTGGCGTGCCCTGCCTTTAGTTCCTGTGAAGAATTCTTTCCTGCACTCAAGTCAAGGTACTCAATCTCAAGCCAAAAGGCATGATTCTAATACAACATCTGGTAATCTCAAGTGGGAGACAATAGTGAAGACTTCGAATTTGCATCATGATCATGTACGCTATTCTCAGGTAACCTTGCTATAATCCTTTTGTCCATAATACCTCAACTCTGGTAGTGACAAAGATGAAAATTCGCATTTAACATTCTCTGCAGGAACTACCCACGCATAAATCTCAGCACTAAATCTTAGAGATGAAGCTCAGTAATCATGTTATGGTCCAAGCTAAAGGGGTCCTCTTTTTCTAAATACACTTACAGTATGTGGTCCTTGACTTATGGAATTTTGGCATTATAGCATAAGTAAACATTTAGTTAGTTGTTTGGATTTTCACCTCATCATTTTTTCATCCCAGAACATTGGATTTACATTCATTCAGGCCTTCGAACTCTTTTTATTCAATTAGTCATATCAAACATTTTAATGTGACTCAATCAAGTATATTTACATCAATTTTTAAAGATTACAATTTGTTCTTAATTGAGCCAAATGGGAAAGAATAAAGTAATGAACTGATGTAAATTTCGTTTACAGGACTAAAAAAAATGTAAACACACTGCTTGAAAACCAAAATATCACCTCTCTTTTTTACTTTCTATAAATTATCATGTCCTTATTATTGCTTTTTCCTTTCTGTTGGATTTTGTTTTCAGCGATTGGCTTCAAGCTTTGACCCCTTTTGATTTCCATGATACTGCAGTGTATAGAGAGAAATCGAAAGTCATTTTTTGGTGATCAATAAAAGTAAAGCTTCTTTTGGACTTGTGGGACTTTCTCAGGTTTCAAGATTTCCTAACCTGCCCTAGGGAAGTGTATATCAGCTAGTAATGTGTGGCTTTCATCATGTTGTTTTAGTCTTCTTCGCTTCTTTCTGCTTAATCAGAGGAATGATCCTTTAGGTTCCCTCTCCTGGTGCCACTTAATCTTCAGGTATCAGCAATTTTTATTTATGTCAGCTGACATAAGGGATTACTGTTTCCTTGCTTTATTGGTTTTTCCATTTTTTATACACGAAGAGAAGAATTCTTCAAATATTTTAGTTTGGCTTTCCTCAGCACTTTCAGAAGCTTTTATCCAAGTATGTAAATCAGATCAATTCTGAGTTGAGATAAATTTCAGATTCTCATTTGTTTGGTGTATTTCTCATCTGATCCTGTTTGCAAAACCTGGCACAGCAATAGGGCAAAGTATTGTCATCGATTGCAGCAGTGATACATTCATGTAAATTGTAAAGTATATAAATGCTCTTCCGTTCATGATTTTCTTAATCTGTTAATTGATTATGCTATCCAAATGCCGTTTGACATACATCAAGTTGCCACTGCCAAATATACCTTCTGTTTAGAGCTACTTCATAAGCATAATCATGCAAAAATGCATGAGTCAGAATCTTTTATGTATCACTCAATCCTGATGTTTGTCCAAATAATCCTAACAAAATGCTGAATGGCACGAATAACTTGGACAAATCCATGCAGAAACACGCGTGGATGATTTCTGTTCATTTTCATAAATAATTATTTTGTTTTTACCAAAGACCAATGAAAAACTATTCCTGATTTCGTCTCATTCGTGCTCTTTAAAAATATGAACCCAATGTAGTTTGTTCGGTTATTCTTAAACAATTATACTAAGGTTTTGGCACACGTCTTATACTTTGTTCATTCCAGTAATTGCTTATGCGGGTTGGTTCAATGGGATTAAATTACTTTCAGTTGTAAGTAGTCTCAAGTAATCCCTCTTTGGTAGGCAAGTTGTGCAATACTTCATGCTAACGTTTGTGGTATATGCCATAGTTCCTTCTGCAAATCAACTCGAGAAGGTATTCATAAACGCGCAATGACGTGACAAGAATGAAACAGTGAAGAACAAGGCATAGAGGTTGGATTACAATTGGGGCAGCCATCTTTGAATGGCACAATGTTTATTGTTAATTGTTATAAATATCCCTCAAAGTGACACAACTGTCCTGGATTAAATTAATTAGCATATTTTTTCAAGAATCTGATAATAAAGGAAAAAAAAATGAATTTGCTAACATCACAAAAAAATTGCATTGACCAACTTTCCAATGCTAAAAAAATCAAAGTAAATTGGGAAAACAAAGATTCAGTTCAAGATAAGTAATTCCAGAAATAAACTTTTAAAAGAATAGTATCTTTCTATTAAAAAAGACCTGACCCGACAAATTGGGTTGGGCTTAAAAAAATTGTTTTGAAAAAATTGGGTAAACCTGCCCTAGCCTAATGGCCTAATCCGGTAAAGACAGGCCAGTTAATTAAAGATTTGAAATCTATGGACTTATTTGTCTGGTATTTTTCTTTAAAACGTTAAACAAAAAATAAAACATAAAATCCAGACTGGAATATCCGGGCTAACACCTCTACTTTTACTATATAAAAGGTATTATTTTTGTAACAAAAACCAAAAAATAAAAATTAATTAATTTTGCGTCAGATTACCTACTGCCATATGCTAGCATATGAATGTAGTGTGAATGTGCCACGGTACTACCTTGCACCAATTCCTGGTTTAGATACAGTGATACACACGCCACTATTAATGATCAGCATAATATGACAGAAAGTAGGAGGGGTCATGGGAATTTTGTTGAGAGTTGAGACTGAGACCCTAGCTGAAATAGTGGGTGGGACACTAGTCATAAAGATCACGGGGCATACTCATCGCTCGTCACCATTGTTCTGCCAAGATCGCAATACATTCTTGTCTGAGCCTGTCAGAAAACTTGTTGTCTACACAACAGAGAAAGTTCGTTATCTAATTGAATAGGGAACATTTTTCAAATGTTTTAAGATGATACATAGTGTTTTTGATTAGCTAAAATATGTCACAACTTTTTCTCAACAACATCAAAATGCTTAAAAGACAAAAATGTTAATCATTATTATCATTAGCACCACCACTACCACTACTCACTATCATTGACATTTACTATTATCATCGACGTTTTCTATTATTAGTATTATACAATTATTGTTATTTATTGCTGTCCTGTTCATTATTATTATTATTATTATTATTATCACTTTTATCATTATTATCATTGATGTCATTATTATTATTATTGTTATTTTTATCATCACCATTTTTATTGTCGTCGTTATTATTATCATTATCATTATCACTTCTATTAAAATAATTAATAAAAATTCATTAAAATAATTAATATAAAAAATATTATTATTATATGTTTAATATTAAGTTATTTATGTTCTCTATTGTTCACCAAACAAAATAGAGAGTAAAAAGTTGTGCATGTAGTAACTTAATGATTTGTCTCATATTGTTCTCTTTGTATACTATCTTAGTATATATTCAAATGCACCCATAATTAGGATACAAGAATTTTTAGAATATAGACTCAATAAACCTTTACCATTACCAAAATCAAATACCAAGAGGAATTTAATGAATAAAATTGTACATTTTGTTATAATTAAGATTTCAGAATGAATAAAGACATTGTGCACTAAATAATCAATGCATTTTTTTCATAAAAAAAATAGTCTGGAACTCTCTAGTTCTCACTCCATATTCTTCCACGATTTTGTTTTTGACCAAGAAAGAATAATCATGTTCATATTTCTATCCTTTCTTCCATCCCATTTCTCAAATTAGATTCTCCTCACTACTAAGAGAAAAGGTAGGGAGAGATTGAGAAGATTGAGTTAGATCTCCATTTTCACCTCATTTTTTTCTTCTTTATCTTTATTTTTATCATTATACCATTTATAACATGTCATTCTTTCTTTCTAATTTTTTTTCTTATCTTTCTGTATATGTTGATATTTTTCATTTAAGAAATAGGCTAATCTCGTAGTACCATATATCAGACAAATGTAAGAACTAAATTAACCCTTTATATATTTTTTGTTAACTTGATTTATGTAGAACATTATAAGTAAAGGTGCAGTTGAAAGTTTTAATGGAGAGATAACTATTAGAGAGAATATCACTACAAGAAAAATATAAATTTTTGACGGAATTTTTCGATAGATATTTCCGTCGAAAATTTTTTACGGATTTATATTTCTGTCAGAAATTTTCAATAAAAATATAAATTTGTCAGAAATTTCTGACGGAATCTTTCTGACAAAAAATTTTGTCAGAAATTTTCGACGGAATATTTTGTCGGAAATTTCCGACGGATTTATATTTCTGACAGAAATATAATTGAGAATACAGCCTTTTGTTTGGCTGCAATTTCTGGAAACCTGAAAATAGCTGAAATACTGTTTGGCAAGAATCCAAAGTTGTTATGTATGAGAGGGCACAATGATATGCTGCCAATTCAATTAGCATCTTCTGCAGGGCATATTCCCATGACAGAATTTTTATTTCAAGCTACAGATGACCTACACAATATTCTACCCTTCCCAGACATCGTGAAGCTATTTTTCATGACCATCACCAACAACATTTTCAGTAAGTTGATCCACATTTTTTTTTTTGGCATAACAATAAGTACAACAAATAATAAGTTTAGTGGTTATATATAATTTTTTTTTTAAAAAAAATATTAAAATTTTTGTGACCCTATTATAATTACTCATGGAAAGGGTTTTTGTCATTATGGTATTGGTGACTAATACATTGATTTGTTTTTTTGTACTTTCAATTTTCTCCAGACAAGCTAGCTAATAACCTCATGTAGCTGAAGCACATTTCTTTTGCGGATTTAGCAATAATTTTTCTCTTGACTAATGATTTGTGCACGACAGCCGTGACATCAAAGTTGTTGGATCGCTATCCAAAATTGGTTACCATTGAAAACGAAGAGGGATTGACAACTTTGCAAATGCTTGCTCAATTTTGTGAGTTCTCACGATCCTTACAAAGTTGGTTTTTCTAGTTCAAAAATGTTATTTTAATTTTAATCTGACTCGAAAGCGAGCAACTCATTTACAACTTACAAGGTAAAGTAAATTACCGTAGTTGTTAATAAAAATAAATTAGTCAACAGTTAATATTATATATACATTCATATTAAATCCTACTTTGTATGTGTACATGACTAATTTTTTGAACTCAATGGTAGCCTGGTGCAAGGAAACTGTTGGTCATCAAGATATTATAAATTCGTTGTTTAAGGGAATGGAAGAAGAGAAAGAGGCTCTCAACTCTGAACAATTGTCAAAAGCATTGTTCGATGCAGCAAAATCAGGAAACATTATGATTCTAGAACGTCTTTTTATGTACCATCCAGATTTGCTTTTTGAAGTGGATTCCACAGAGCAAAGAAGCTTACTTCACATTGCTATTCTATATCGACAAGAAACTGTATACCGACTAATATTAAGCAAGGGGGCTTCCAAGAATGTTATGATGCAGTTGATTGATTTTGAGGGGAACAATGTTCTTCACTTAGCTGGAAAGTTGGCACCTGAAGAAAGATTCGCATTATCAACAAACCATGTTATCATGCGTTGTGAAGAGAAATGGTTTAAGGTATATATGCAGTCGATTCACATTCACTATTTCTTAAGCTCTTCATGTTCCTAATGTTTTTTAGTTTTGACTTTTAACGAAACAGGAAGTGGAGAAAATAGTTCCAGGTGCAATGAAAAGAATGAGAAATAAAGATGGTTTGACTCCTAAAGAATTATTCTATTGGTCGCACAAAGGGTTGCACAAAGAATCAGAATCTGAAGTGAAAGTTACAGCAAATACTTTAGTAGTGGTAGCAACTCTTGTGATCACCTTAGGGATCACCGCAGTTTTGACCCTTCCCGTTAAGGATATTGAGAGTAAAGATACTCCTATTTTTGGGAGGAAGACATGGTATACGTTATTTTATCTATCAATTACATCTGGAACATGCTTATGTGCGGCATCTATGTTCTGCTATGCTTCAGTTATTCTTCCTTCAAGTTGGGAACCAAAAGAAGAGTCTGTGTTCTCGCGGCAAACAAAGTTGATATTTGGGAATGGGACACTTTTTGGGTCCATTGCACTCATGTTTTCTTCTATTGGTTCTGGTTCCATATTGATATTTGACTTCATCTCCAATTGGATCCTTTTTTCCATTTCTGGACTTGGTTGTATCGTATTGCTTTTGCATTTTGCACTTGACCATAAACGATGGGATAGCTCTCTGCGCTTTGTGCTATCCTTTTTCGTGCTACCTCCGGAGAAGCGACCAAGATTGTTATGGCCAATCCATAACATCTATGAAGCCTGCCACCCTTTGCCAAAGGAAAAAAAGAAAAAAAACAAGAACTTCAATTAGTTAGAATTAAACTAAAATACAAGGTTGTGCTCAAGAGCTCTGGCTGTTTTTATATAAGATGGGTAGTTTGTTTCTTATTTTAAGACAGTAGTTTGTTGTGCATGTGATTCGTTTTCATATTATGTACACCTTTTATTCTTTTCACATTTACATCTTTCCTCGATTGACCAACTTGTGCATGCAATGTGATAAATGGTGAATGGCAACAAACTCTATATCTTTGAATGTAGACCGCGTATATTTATTAAAATTAAAAAAAAATTATAATTTCTGACGGAAAGTTTCGTCAGAAAATTCTGTCGAAAATTTCTGACGAAAATTCGGAAATTTCTAACAGAATTTTCTGATGGATATTTCTGTCGGAAATTTTCGACGGAATTTTCTGTCAGAAAAATATTTCCGAAGGATTTTTTTTCCGACGCCACTTTTTTCGACGGATTAAAATCCGTCGGAAAGAAAAATTCGTCAAAAATTTAACTGTTTTCGTCAAAAATTTCTATCAGAAATCAACATTTTTCTTGTAATATATGATGAATTATTAAATTTTCAGTGATAAATGCAAAAGTAGAGTATCTGTAATAAAGCAAGATCACAATATTTTCACCGTTTGTTCCATTTTTTCCCTTGCAATTATTATTGTCGTCTTTATTTATATTAGTGGGAGAAGATGTCTACCCGTCTATTTTGTTTAGATAGGTAGAAGATAAAACCTATATATTAATTTTTTTTAATCTTTATAACTAGGCTTAATTGCACTTTTGGTCCTCCTAATTTAGTGCAGGAGTAATTTTAGTTTTCATAATTTGAATTACTTAATTTTGATCCATAAATTTAACTAATGGACAATTTTAGTCCTACAAACAATTTACCATTCAAAATTTAACAGACGTTAATAATATGAATTTTATGCTAAATAAAAATTTATATATCATTTAATCTTTTACGTGTCAAATTATTTAATATTCAAATTTTAAATTCAAATAACATTGAAAACAAAATGAAAAGAGTATTGATATCAATCGCAGTGAGAATTTTTCACTAAAATAGAATTTTTTTTAATTTTTTTACTAAAAAAGCACATGTACCAATTTATTCACCCAAGAAGCACCTTTCACTGTTACGTTCATAATTCGATTCTCGAGGGAATCGAATAATGAGTTGTTAATTTTTTTTTTTTTGCGTTTTGGATCTGAGTACGGTGTAGGATCCAGAACGGCCCATTCTCCTTTCAGAACGGTCTGTTCTCCTTGCAGCACTTGCAGAACGGGCCGTTCCGAATGTAAAAATACACACATGACGATGGATCAAAACGGGCCGTTCTGCTTGGACGTTCCAGTTTCAAAATTAACAGACTACGCGTGCAAGCAGAACGACCCGCTTGGAGAACGGGTCGTTCCAGTTGAAACATTAACACGTATAAAAAAGAGAGATATAAAATAAATGAATTTAAAATTTTTAAAATTTGAATATTAAATAATTTGACACGTAAGAAATTAAATAATATATAATTAATGTTTATTTAGTATAAAATTCATATCATTAACGTCTGTTAAATTTTGGATGATAAATTGTTTGTGAGACTAAAATTGTCCATTATTTGAATTTATAAACCAAAATTAAGCAATTCAAATTATGAGGACCAAAATTGCTCCTACACTAAATAAAGAGGACCAAAAGTGTAATTAAGCCTTATAACTATTTAATAATTTTTTTATTTTTATTTGAAAGATTAAGATTGTAAAAAAAATGGATATGCAAAAACAGAAATTTACCTTTAGATATAGATACAAATAAAAAGTAAAAAGAGAAAAATGTGAGAGAAAAAAATTTAAAATAAAAGAAGTAATCAATTTATAGTAGGTGTGGGTGAAAATGTCATTGAGAAACAATGTAAAAGTGAGAGAAAAAATTGTCAAAAAATGAAAAAGAATAAGAAATAATTGATACACTTATAACGTAATTCAAGGAATAAGAAATAATTGGTACAATTATAATGTAATTCAAAGAAAAAACGGTCTCAATAAAGTCGAGAAAAAACGGTTTATAGCACGAACATGTTCTCTTTATTTATTTACATAGATTCAGTGAGTTGATCAAACCAATCATTTGTAACAAAAAACAAAAAAGAAAAAGAAAATTGCTAATATGAATTGAACTCACTCTCAATCATCACAACACGTTTCCTTTTGCAATCAGATCCTATTTAGGTTTTTAAAAAAAAACCCAAAAAAGAAGCTATATAGTATATACTATAGCAAGCCCATGTGTCCTGTAGGGACATTGATCTTGTGTACCTATTTTCTTGTTTGGATATATCATCTCTCTATATATTATAATCAGCTAGATATATGGTATTATATATTTGCGTTATCGACATTACGAAGCTCTAAGAAAGTGAAAGCTTAGTGTTGATTTCTTGGGTTCCTCTGTACTTGCCATCATCAGTTCCAACTGTGTGACTCAAACCCAGTTGCAAATCAGGCAAAAGTAGCTTGTCTTTCTGCAATTTCTCTTGATTCAACTGCATAACAAATCAAATAATTATTCATGAATGGTGAAGAATGGAACGTATATATTAATTAATGATTAAAAGTACATATGTAGTGTTCCTATATATATTTTTGTTAAACCCTAATTTACCTTAATCCGAAATGGGGGATCAAATTCTAGCTTTAAACTGTTGGAGTAGTTGCGAGGTTCATTGGAGTTGTTGGATAGATATTCTCTGATGCTTGTGTTGTTCACAGAACTCCATTCAGCAGGCTGAACAGCTTGTGACCCATTTTTAGGAGCAACAATGGGATTGGAGGGTAATAACCTTTTGAACTTGGTTTGATGATTGTTCATAATTTCTAAAGGAGGCCACCTTTTCTCTTCAAGCAATTGGCTAGGTCTCATGGGTGCAATTCTGCCGCGTGTATCCTTTGCTTGAATTTGGCTGGAAGCCATTGGGATTCTAGAAGCTTGATGATTAACATACCAGTGCTGGTGCCTAGATGGTCACAAAACAGGGTTACTATAAAACAAAACGAAGGATTTCAACCTGACTATAATTATATATCTATCACATTGAATGTGCTACCTAATGTTAGAAATGAGTTGAGTAATCCAATTCGTGTCAGTTCAATAATATTTGTCTCAGCTTAAATTAGACATGAACTTTTTTTTTTCAGTTTCAATTTAATTTGGTTAGTTCAAGTTCACTAACAACTTGTTAACTTAATGAACCAAAAGTCAAGCTTTTTTCATCTTATACATTTTAGCATTTCAATTTATTTATAAATTTTAGATGAAATGATTGTTTAATTTTTTTTTAGAAAGACAAATCATAACTTATTTTATATGTTTTGTAAGGTTATAATATTTCAAAGAAACGTAATTTAAATCAAAATTTATATAAATAAAAACTATTTCATCTTAAATAAAATAATAAAAAATTTGGTCCATAACACGTCACTCTAAAGTATCCACTCTTTTTAATTATTGATTTATAAATAAATTTTAAAAATTCTTTATAATTTTAACAGGTTAGAATTAAATAGAAAGTCAATTATAATTATATATTTTATATGTCAAATAATTCAGGAACCAAACAAGTTAAACTATACAAAACTTAAATTTAACTTATTTATTTATCAAATTCAATTTTTAAGTCAAACCCAACTCATTTAATTCATAAATAAACTCAACGTGTTAATTATAAAATTAAGTTTTAAAACATTTTTGAGTTAATTTAGTTTATTGTCACCTGAAATGCTACACTAATTAACACTGGAGGTGTTAAATGGGCCAGTGGAATCTAATAGTTCACTAAAATATCCTCATTAAAAGAATTGATAAGCAAAAGAATTGATTAATTGTTATCCTACTAATTAAATATCCTTTTTAATAGATTAACTAATACTACATTCAATTCTAATTATATGACAAATCATCAAGACAAAAAAAATAATTAAATTATTTTTAATTAATTCTATCAAAATTTAAATTTTATTCCAAAGATACTATTTACTAAATTACTAGACACATCTTTTCAGAGAGAAAATTACTAGACATCTATTGTATAGAGAATAAGTGCATGCATAGAAAAATAAGGATATGAAAAAACTTAGTATTTGGTTGGAGGGTAAGGGACAAGAAAAGAAGGGAGAAGAGGGATTTTACAAGATTGAAGTGTTTGTAAGAATTTTTTTTAATGAAAAATACTTTTTATTTTTAATAAATTTTTTTTTCAAAAACACTTCTAAATTTGTATTTAAACAAAATTTATTTGGTAATATAATTAGCAACAAACACTTTGATCACCAAGTCATAAATTATGTGAATTAAAAGAATTTTGAAACGAAAAATATAAATACAATAATCTTAAAATGGAGGGAATAATTTACAAGGGGTGTAAGAAGTAAATGTTAGATAATATAAGACAAGATCATTCTTTGACTATTATATATATATAGAGAGAGAAAGAGAGAGATGAATCAACTTATTATAAGAGTCGGTTATAATTAAATTATTCCACTCAATAACTTAAAAGTCTATATTGAATTTAAATTATTGAACCATTGAATTATAAATTATTGATGAATAGATCAAATTTATTAATTTTTACAAAATTTAAAAATAAGTTAATATTTTATTATATAGATTCAAATTAACGTGTAATATATTTTTATGAATATACATTGATTTAAATTAATATAATAAAATATTAAATAATTTTTTAATTTTATATAAATTTATAGATTTGATTAATTCATATAAAAATTTTAATTCAATGTAGAAGAGAAGGAAAATTAGTGTTACAATAAGTGAATCTCTAAATAATGAATTAAATGTTTGCGAAGTTACCTTGAAGCAGTGTCGTTTGTATGTGAACGTGAAAGGGAAAAAGAGGGCTGGAGGAGACTTTGGAAAGGAGTATGTTTGTTGAAATTAGTTGCTAGAATAATTCCACCATTCCCCATTTTAAAATGCTGATGAGGACTCATGGACGACTGGTGGAGTATCAGAGATCTACGACCTGCTTCTTGGATCGACCTGTACGTTTGACTTAGTACTGCAAAGTAATATGATCTCAATTGTCAAGTTCAAGACATTTGGCTATGAAACCCTAACCCTAAATCTTTCTCGTATCAGTTTGCTTTATCAGTATTTACATCACAGCAACTTATTTATTGTTTTCTCTTTTGTTTAGTCTACTGCTTTCATTAATATCAAAGTAGATTATGTATTAATTTCTCCTCCCTCCCCGCCCAAAGAATAAATAAATTGAGTATATGCTTAAGAATAGTTCAGAAGCTACACATAAATTTTACAAACCGACTTAGATCATATAACTGTGATCTAACTGAGATGATATGTTATATAAAAAGTTATAATAATATTAGTATAATTTTTATTAAATATTATATCACTCAACAACTTTATTTTAAATATAAATTTAATTATTCAATTAAAAATTTATGAATAACAACTCTCTTAATTTAGGACTCGTTATTGGAAAATCCTACCCCATCCCCTCAACGTCCTTGCTCCCCTTATATAGGACACAACAAACAAATAGTATTATTGGGCGTACGGATTCATTAACATTATAAACCAAAAAAATTTAAGATAGTACTTATACCTTGCCCAGCCTCGTCAAGTTTCTTGCTTCGATACATCTGAAATGAAAAATAAATATATTCATCAACAAAATATGTTTTTGAATAATAAAATAATTTAGTTAAACAGTTATTCAATAAAAACTTATCACAACAGAGCGCTAGCCTGTGTCCTAAGCACTTACTAGTAGTTTAATAAGTTCATTTTGATAAATTAAGCTTGTAAAAGCGACTCATAATTTTTTATAAGTATTTTTAATTATCTCAATAAACTTAAACGTAAATATATATATATA